GCAAGCGTGAGAACCGGGTCAGTCTCCTGAGGAGAGGAGTAACAGTGAGATGAAGAAGCAAAGAATAAATGAGGGCAGGAGTGATGAGAAAAGGAAGAAGAAAGAGGTGAAGAAATGCTGATGCAGAGAGATCACTGACTCTAAACTAATTAGAGGGCTAAAACCAAACTTTAGCATTATAGTATACAGTTAAAGCCAATTAAGAAACAGTGCAAAGTGGAGCAGATGGCCAGAGATGTGGGGCAGCCACTTATTTAGGCCTTGGAAAGAAAAAAATATCACTAAATTCACTGAACTGGATTTGTTCTTACTGTGGCTTGACATAGGCTACTGCCACACTCCTTACTTCTTCAGTGTGTTGGTTCATATACACAGACACACACACAGAAAGAGAGAATCACACAATATGTGTCATCTCTAGCAGTAAGCTAGTTATCTCAAAATGTCATAATTTGTGTTCCATCATTACCCTCACACATTTAAGATGAATTAGTTGAGTGGGCGACAAATTTCCTATTGTAATCTCCACCAAGCCTGGGTGCTGTGGTGTGTGTGTGTGTGTGTGTGTGTGTGTGTTTTCATGGTACGAGTTAATTAGGAACAAGCTTTCACGGCTCGATTAAGTGAAGAGAATCTTTGATCCTTCATGCTCTGGCCTCTCATGGGCACAAACACCAGAACAACTCTGAGACACAGAGCGAGTGAGGTGGAGTGAACTGTGTGTGAGACACAAGGCGAGGGTGAAATGTGAAAATGAAGCAAAGGAGAGGCAAAATATAGGAAAGATGGAAGGAGGGATGGAGCGGACAAAAGAAAGTTTTCAGTCAAGCACATAACATTTGATTTTTAATCTAAAAAATGTGATCTTATGGTTTCTGTAAACAAAAACATAGGTCAAACAAAGGTCCATGAGCAACTCTTTCCTGTTTTCTGAATGAAATGAACACAAACAACCAAATCACTTGTTATTTAGCCTTTATTAAATAATAATAATAACATTAAAAAAGAAATTCTTCTGTACAAAGTCTACAAACAACAGTTTGAGTTATCTGGCCAGTGCCGTAGTTATGTCTTAATGTAGGGTGCATTTGTGTGTGTTTGCGTGTCTGTCAGTTGTGCATGTATGTGTGTGTATCCATCGAGACAGAAGAGGTAATACTATCTGGACTTCCAGAAGGAAAGAGTTTAAGTCAAGCAGGGGGAAGAGGGAGAGAGAGAGAGAGAGAGAGAGAGAGAAGTTAGGGTGGGTGTGTTCATGTGTGTGGTGTTTCTATATGCGCATGATTGTGTGTCTCACTGATCAGTATGAGCATCGTGTGTTTGCGAGGGAGAAAGAGTCGGACAAAGATAGCAGTGGGGAGAGAGAGAGAGAGTGAGTGAGAGAGATAGAGAGACACTATAAGAGAGCTCCAAGGCACTTGGAAAACAGTCCAATGACTCAAGGATGGACAGAAAACCCTCCATCTCTCTCTCCATTGTTCCCCTCCCTCCGCCTCTCCTTCTCTGACCATCTTTCAGCTCCTGCTCATAATCCCCTTATTTTCTTTTGTTTATTTCATCTCAGTCGGTCTCCTGGCTACATGCATGTGTGGTCTTGAAAGAGGAGAGATGAGAGAGAAAGACAAAAGGAAAGAATGGGGGCTCCAGGCAAAGATACAACAAGTGTGACATGTTTGACTCCTTTTTCCCGCCTCTGCTTCCTCTGCTCTTTCGATTTACCCCCCAAGAGGACAACAACTTGACCCGGGTAGTTCGCAGACTCAGAAAACACAATAAAGGATGTTCTAGGATGGACCTACCTCTGCTGTGGCTAAGCAAAGTATAAGAGACTTATACAAAGAAGACATCTGTTCCTCCGGTTGTTAAGATTTCTGTCAGGGTCACGTTGCCTCTTTGCTTGTCATTCCCGCCGTGTTGTGACTGTCTCTCTCTCTCTCATCCTCTACCTGTCTCGTTTTATGTTTCACTTTGTCTCATTGGCTGTCTGTGTGTCTGTCTGTTCACCCCATCTGTCAGCTCTATGTCTCATTGGATATGTTTACATGCACAGAGTCACACTTCCAGTTGTTTAGATGAACCTTTTGATTCGACCCTGTCGTAGACTTTGACTGACTATGCCGATAAGTTAAATGTTCCTGACCACAGTTTAAACAGTCGACGAGCCAAAAACATCTTTAACTGTGTGTGACATTTCACTTCAAATACAAGCACAAGGAATGTAGTAATTACTGCTTGTTACCATGTTTTATGTTGCCATAAAATTGGACCCATGATGCAAAGCTCTCCTATGAATTCTGCTCATGTACAGGTAATTAGCAACTGTCATGTATGTTTACTAGCAACATCTACTTCTAATGAAGGAAGTAGTGTGGCTTGAATACTAAATACTGTACAGGTGTGGAGGTCAGGATGGATGGCCGGTTGTACAGAGAAGTTTGACCTTCACAAATAGCTTTTAGTTGTCTAAACATAACCATTATATTATGCTTTCATTGAAACATCTGTACATAGCAGGGAAAACATAAGAAAAATGTTCCAGATATGTTTAACATGACAATTCTACAAATATGTTGATATTAAAAAACAGCACGTGAAAAGGCATTAAAGGTACCCTGTTGAGTTTTCTTGTACATTTGTACTCATTAAACATTGGTAAAGCATTGCATTGGTTACATTCATGTTTGCTAACTTGCATAATCTTAATTATATATATATATACATACATATATATAATTCATATAATATAATCTTTAATTCTTAATATTTTACTCCCCTATGTAGCTTAGTACAGCACACTGAATCTCGCTGTCCATGTACAAGGACACCGACTGTCAGTCAGAGGAACAGTGTGAAACCATGTTGCTACATGCTTGTGCATGTGCAGGAGATACAAACAAAATGGGGACCCACTCTTAAAAACATCACTCCACAGCGCCACTAGTGGTCAATAACTCTGCAGGGTACCTTTAAGTTTCCACCAGAATGTTTTTAACTGAAACTAAATCTTCTTGGGAGAAAAATATTTTTTGCAAATTTTCTTTTTTGTTGGTCCAGTGACTTCATCAGGCGGATTAATTAACTTCACTGGTTTTAGTTGTAATGTTCAGACATCAACAGGTTACTTGAACTGATAATGAGACTTTTCCTGGATGTAAACATATCCACCCCGCCCCCCTTCTTTCTGTCTGTCTGTCAATCTTTCTGTGTGTGTGTGTGTGTGTGCATGTGTGTGCGGTTGTGTGTGTGTCTCCTTCTGTTCATCAGTCTCTCCAGCAGCACTGGCCCTCCTCGATGGCTGTCCTCCGATACAGCGTATACTGTAGTTAGCTTAAGGCTCGATTGTGTGTCCAAGAAAGTCGACAGTACGATTTCCATTCTCCTCTTTGAGTCATTCTTTCTCCTTCCATTTCTGAGCGTCCTTCGTTCAAGGGCTGACATTAAGAGTGGTGGATAAAAGGCAGGATGATTAATCACTCTTAGTCCGTTCTCCACCCAGCATCTTTTAACACTTGTTCAGACCCCCCTGTGCACATACACAGCTCTTTGGCAATCCATAGGTTGCAATAAAACAATCACTGACATTTTGTTCACACAGTGTCTGTCCTTCATTTTGGGCATCATACAGTCTGAAAAGCAAAAAAATATAGATATATACCAAAGACAAACTCTAGAATACTGAATCTAAAGCACGACTCCATAACAGCATGTTAGATTTAGATAAACCTCTGATTTTCTGTCTTCCATCTCACTTTACCTTTCTTCTACTCTTAAAGACTGATAATCTGTAATGGAAAATGTGCCAAAATAGAAAAGGACTGAAGTAACAGTTAAGACCATAGAGTCCAACACAACGCTAAAGAAAGTCTAAAAATGGCATAAGAGCTCTACAGGGCGGCTACGAACTAAAGCTGGCTTTTCTTTACCTTTTTTTTTTTTTCCAAACAGACACAAGTCTAAAACAGAACAAAAACAGTCACCATTACTCTTCTATGCCACTGGTTTCACAAAGCGCAGACCAAGGGCAGACAAGGGAGTGAGCGAGCGCCGTATGGCAGGCTAATGGACGTTTGAAACTCACAGAACTCATATCTAAAACTTTCAGAAACAAACAAAAAAAGAAAATGTCCTTTTTCATCCTCTTTTCCTTCTTCGCCTTTAGAAATCTAGATTCATTTGAGTTGTGTGGTTTGATATTCTTTTTTATACTTCTTTAGGAGGGGTGGGGGTGGGGGGGGCGGGGTTAGGCATTCACTTGATATGTGTTGATTTCAGTCAAAAGTACCCACATTAAATGGTCCACTGGTGCTGAAGTCTTCACGAACAGTCAGAAGCTGGGACTTTTTGATTTCTGCATGCCGTCTCTATTGGCCACATTCAAATTCAAGCTCTTGAGGACAAATCTGTCGTTGCCCTTCTGCAAAGTACCAGCCACGGGAAAATGTTAATGAAATTCCTGTCGTCATTAAGAATCCCATCACCAATATTTTCACCCTAGACTGTGCTGTCATTTGTGGTCCAAATGTCCAGATTGTCATGGGTGCTCTAGTCTGTCCAATTCAGCTTCATTCCAGTGGCTGGTGGGTTATATTCTATGGTAGATCTGTCATTCATATTCATTTATTCATTCCTTCATTCATTCACAGGCTTTTTAGAATTGAGCAGGCTCTCTCCTGCAGGCGGAGGAGATATGGTACTGTAGGTAGGGGAGACTGGGGTCGGATGTTCCCCCAGTTTAGGCCTCATAGCATGTAGGGGAGATCAAGATCACAAGTTCCCCCCGGCTCGCAAATAAGTGGGGGAAACTCTGGGTTGAATGTTACCCCTTTAGACATCAGAGCAAGGAAGTAGCAGGATATTGGTTAGGGGACACTGGGGATTGAAATAACAGATAGTGCTTCTTTTTCATGTTTTTTTTGTCCAAACAGAACAGAATTACTTTTGCAGGGGATCATGGGACACATCTTTCCCCATTGCTCTCCAGAGTTCTCCTCCTCCTCCTCCTCCTCCTCCTCCTCCTCCGCCTCTTCATGCCTCTGAGCAGCACCTCTGCTGGTTTATCTTTACTTTATGCTTGATCCCGTCGTACAGCTCAAAGTTGTAGTTCTCCAGTGTCGTGGAGGAGCGCGAGGAGAGCCCGCTGTAGGAGCACGTGCAGTAGAGGAGCAGTCCTGCGCAAACTGCACCCAGCAGGACGCCCAGAGAGCTCATCACAATGATGGTGAGGAGGATGGGATCCAGCGTGTACAGCCAGGCGTTGTCCTTGTCTTTCTCTGACACCAGGGTGACGGAGGGAGGGTCCACATCAGAGGAGGAGGGGGTGGAGAAGGAGGACGGCCACCCTGGGAAGATGTATTCTGGAGACAGAAGAGTAAACTTTAGAAAACACTTCTAGAAATTATTAGAAATGTTAAAGTTAAATAACCACCACAGACCAGTAGTTCTGCATGTGTTGTGATGTTCAACTTAATGGGTTACAAAACTCAACAAGCTTCAAGTGACTGCTAATTGAGAGATGAATGTAGACCAATAATAATAACAGGAAGATCACATCAAAAAATTTTGATGGAAAACTTTAATTAGTCTTGGTACATTAAAAAAAACAAACAAAAAAAAACGGTATATTCCTTAAAATTGAGACTACGTAACATTTACTAAGCAGTTCCTCCGTGGCCACAAGAGACAATTACAATATAATGGCAAATATTGACATGTAGTGTAATGGTTAATATAAGTAGAGATGTGTCATAAAGTGAGTGAACTGACTGAGGTTCCATTTATGCAGCAATATCTATCTAAAGTTATCTTACATTAGCTATTAGTCATACCAGAGCAAGTCAGGCTGTTGCAGCAAAACACTATGGTGTGCTGAAGTGAGCAAGTGTGTATTTTATTGCTTATATACTTAACATTTCATATGTAAGAAGATGAATGTGGTCTTGCTTCCTTTGAAAAGTCACAGTCTCACTTTAAAGAAATTGATTTAACTGTATTTGAGGCAAATGTCCAACATGGCTCATATTCAAGAACAGCTAATTCTACTACACACGACCCCAGTTGTTACTGACTTCAAAAAATTTGGAAGCATAATGCAATTAATTACACTAAAGGTGCTCTCCGGTGTGTCTGGTGTGTGTTGTGAGTGCTGAAGTGTGCACATCTACTTAGTAGAAGCAGTCATGCTAATCCACTTAATGAATGTATACACATGAACAAGCCAATCCACAATTAAGTACTGCATTTAGAGTGCTTTATGGAAGAACACACCGAAACGCACGCACGCACGCACGCACGCACGCACGCACGCACGCTCGCACGCACGCACGCTCGCACGCACGCACGCTCGCACGCACGCACGCTCGCACGCACGCACGCTCGCACGCACGCACGCTCGCACGCACGCACGCTCGCACGCACGCACGCACGCACGCACACACACACACACAGAGACACAAAGAAACACAGACAGGAAAGCAGTAAACAGACAGTAAATAGTCTTGTTTAGTGAGGTAAAGGCTGAGTACTCTTCTTGTATCTGTCAAGAGGCTGGGAGAAACACAGGATAGTAACACATGCATGTGGGCGCACACACACACACACACACACACACACACACACACACACACACACACACACACACACACACACACACACACATACGGTTACACACATACAGATACACACATGCCCAGGAAGTAAACCGTGATTGTTACAGACAGATGTTTTTCTAGGTGCCCAGGAGGAAGCTGTCTGTCTCAATTTGTCTGCCATGGAACATGAAAGAGGAGGAGAGGAAATGCACACCAACATGCCCACATGCACACACAGACACACACTTTTGAATCCTCTCTCGCACTCTTCCCTTCTCTATGCACACACACACACGCACACGCGCACACACACGCACACGCACACGCACACACACACACACACACACACACCAGAGATTGTCACTGTTGCCACAGGCTTTTTTCCAGTGGAATCACAAGTAAACTGAAGAGCCATAGGCATGCCTCATCTTAAAGAGCAATTTCACTATTCTTTGGGTGAGACTTGTAAAACAGCCAGTATAGCCTTAGGCTGAGAGGAAGAGAAGAGAAGAGAAGAGAAGAGAAGAGAAGAGAAGAGAAGAGAAGAGAGCAGCAGCTCACCTCCATTGATTGGGTGCTTGTTATTGAAAACAGGATCTTTTCCGAAATCCATCGGCCTGGGGTCTGCAAAGAAGACAGACAGAATAACAGTATTAATCTCAACCATCCAGTCAAGCTGGAGCCACTCTAGAGTCCACATCATGTTGTGATAGCATCACTCCATCTCTTATGTTGTCAGCACACAAGCTACATTTGTAGATGGAAATCAAACTGCACAAACGGCTCAAAGAGTGACTGATCTTGTTTAAACTTTCTAAAGAGATCAGGCAGGAGATTTCTTATAACCCGTTTTGTTCTGTGCTCAGTCTGTCAAGGGAAAATAACTAAACATTTCACCTAGACTACCTGCATAAAGCCAGCAAGTTTCATTATGTGATAAGCATCAATGCTCTTTTTTTTATTTGCTTAGAAATGAAAACAGAGTCAAGAGATTGAGAGAATGAGTTGAAAGATAGAAAGGAGAGAGAGAGAGAGAGCACGGGAACCTGAACTGTGAAAAATGAAAACCACATACCCACACACACACACACACACACACACACACACACACACACACACACACACACACACACACACACACACAAAACGGTTTCATAGAAAAATATTACTTTTATTACCTTCACATTCCCCACAATATATTTTCTTTTTATTCTGAGACCGTGAAATTCAACAAGCTAAAATATCACTTAATATTTCTGAGGCAGGCCGCAGTGCAAGGCTTTGAAGGGTTTGGAGGCTCAATCCTGCTTCAATTCAGTTTTATTCAAGGAAATTGCTATTACAATCCCCAGAAAAAACAGAGCAATATCTGGGCAGCTGATAACCATTTATTGCAGGGGCAAAGGAACCAAAAACGCATTATGAAGTGAAACAGTAACAGATATTCAAAAGATAAGAGGTGGAAAACTAATTTAGTAGATATGAAAAAAAGATACAGAGCCTCATTTCCTCAGTTAGGTGAGGTCATTTTTCTATGAGACAATTTCTAACATGTGGCATCTCCATATTATACCATCTATAAACAGCCTTTACAAACTTCCAGTGCTCTTCAATCTGTAAATAATATACATTAATACTTTTAACTGACACCTGCTATCTGTGACAGAAATACAATTTACACATGGATTAAATATGAAGTAATTTACTTGAAATTAAAGAAGTGACTGAATCAATCTTTAATTGTTTGAAATTGACCCAAAATTGACCTCCAAAACCAATAAGAGAGTAAACAAAACAAAGTCACTCAATTTAAATTCAATTCAAATATTATTACAGCAAACAACAAACCCCACGTTAATTGAAGGGTATTTCATCCCAAGTGTTTGGTTGTTGAAATTTTCTTTGAATTGAAATCTAATTATTTGATTGCGAGTCCGACCCCTCTATTGGCTTTGTGTGTTTTTCTGTAGCTCAGTGTTTAATTTGCTTGAAGTGCAAGGTTGTGAAAATCCAGCGCGAGTCAAAAAGACAATCATTAAGTCGAGGTCTTTGCTTTACACGGGCAGAGAAAGTGCACAAGATTAAATAAAACAGTGATGTGGCTGAAGCCGGGGATGAATGGATGAGCAGTTTACCACTTCAAAGCTGGTGTTATTCAGTCTGAATGAGTCTGAATGAGTCTAAACTAGTCGCAGCTTTGAATTAGAGCTAACTCAAGTTCATCCCTTGCTGAGGCCACATTTCAGAATGATCCGTCTTTAACAGATTTACATCAAGAAAAATCTTTCTGATTAATAATAATAAAAAAAACCTCAATTATTACAACAAGAACACAAAGAACAATAGAAATAACATCATCGATTCACTTGATAAAAATGACATCATCAAGGTAGATTTTTCAAAAACTCAATATGAAGCTGTACTTTACCCCTAAGATCTGTGGTTTAACGTCACCAAAACAGAGGAGTAAAATACAGGCGATCAAAAAGACAAGACAGACGTCTCAAAGCATGCAAGCTTGGAGAACCATGTTTTTAAATCAAGTTGGCCTCAGTCTGTCATCTTGTTCAATCTGAAGGTATTCTGAATAGGCAGTTAGCCCTGAAACTAAAACACTACCTGTAAAGCTAAATGTGCTAAATATGGTTGATCCCAGTAGTCACACTGTGAATTATAATACTGTATGCAGGTCTGAAATGTGATCTTCTAGACTTATAGCATGCACATGAAGGCATCTCATCAGTGTTCTCTTCTGTCTTCTGATCGTGTAAATGCACAGTCTCACAACGGACCCTAAATGCTCCTCTGTCACAGTCAACTGAAATCACCGCAGTCCTCAACAAAACATTAAATCACCAACAGAGAGATAGGAAAAAGAAGCGGGATAAAAATGAGGGATGCTCGGACACTGTTTGGACGGCTGTTGAACACTTTCTAATGATCCTGGCTTAAAGCCCTCAGGCTAGGATCCTGAGAAGAATCATCACGCGGATCTGAAAGGAGATTAAAACTCCCTGTGGCCCCATTTTATCTCCACTCTCCAATTAGTAAAGAGAAGAATAAAAAAAGGGGGGATGTTTTTTTTATTCCGGCAAAGACATAGATGGCTCTTTGGCACCATATTCGGTTCCAGTGGGGGCCCAAGGACCTGTTAGAGTGCTTTCACTTGTAATATTTCTCAGAAGAAACAGAGGAGGCGGAGGAACGGGGGAAAAAAAACACAGAGATGGTCTGAGGGCTAGAAATGCTTACCGCAGGGTTTTATGAATGCAATCAGCTCCATTAACTAATTAGAAATATTAAAGGGCTTCAAAGTAGTCTATGATGGAGAAGGGAGCGGGAAGTGAGGGAAAGTTGATTTAAAAGTGCTGCATGAAAAGATGCCAGCACATTTTCCAAATCTTGCAAAAAGTTTGATAGAGGGAGAGAGAATAAAAGAGAAAAAGTGCACGGGTAGCACAACATAAATACAGTCGTATATCATTCTCCTATTTGAATCTCGGACCCACATTGATTGGGTTACAGCACAGGGCTGCTAGAATGAGTCATATAATGTGTAAATCACAAGCGAGTCGATTGAAATGGAAGTGGGGGTGGGGTGGGGGTGGGGGTCGGGGGGCAGAAAATGGATATGCAAGCACAAAAAAACTAAAGTGCTTGTTGACTAAAGCACAAAACAGAATTTTATGAGACACAATACATTGGAATAAGTCAATATGGTGAATATGGAAAATGAGTGAAACAGCGATTTAAATAGCTGAATCTGATAGCACGGTGGATTCCTCGCTAAGACGGGGTTGTGTTTGTTAGACGGTGCATGTGAGTGTATGTGTGCAGAGCATATAATGTGTATCACATCTCACAGTCTATTCTGCCAAAAGACTCCTTTCATCTGCTTTTGTGTTTGAAACAACCTGCCCTCCTCCTTCAATTCTCTCCCTCCTTCAGTCCAAACCCCAACCTGCCTCCCTGTTAGCCTTCCTCTTGGAGTAAAGAAAAAAAAAATCTATCTTTAGAAAGTATAGAGAGCATTTTTTCTTTTTTTTTTTACTTCTTTCATCTCACTCCATCTCTGGGCGCATTCTTTGGAGGGAAAGGGGGCTCACTTAATGGGCCCTTCTCCTCTGAGAGATTTTGCTCTATTCCATTTCTGCCTCTCATTTTCTCTCCTGTGTTTTTTACTAGGAGGATTTGCGATGAAGGGAAAGAGTAGAATAGGAACAAGCGGGTTTTGATAAAAAAAAAAAAAAAAAAAGAAGAAAAATAAAATAAGGCTGGGGGATTTAGGCATGAACAAAATGATGTAGGGGGGTAGCACACAACAGAGAAGTCCAGAAAACAAGTACCACAGAGGTACGCCCAATTTCACAGGCGTGGATCTGAATAGAAGCTGATGCTGGGCTTCTCTATCCAAAAGCACATTAATATTCCTTGTTTTAACATCATCATCTTTACATATAACACGTTGATTTGCTTCAGTTTTGGGCCCCTTTCTGAATTAAACTGGATGCTTTCAGTGAGGGACAAAATGGCTTCAACTGGAGGATGTGACACCAAATGAAAGTGAAGAAACTTGTTAAGATCATCTCAGTGAACACAATCGACATAATTGTTGCCCTAATAACAATAGTAAGTATAAAAATAAACAAAGTATAACTATTATACATCAGAAACACATATAGGCCTACTGTAACATGTGATTACAAAGAAAAAAATGGCATTTAATTCACCACCAGTACATGGCCCAACTTATTTTTCTTTAAGATTCACAGTAAATGTAAGAAATCATCAACCTTCAATAAATGAATATTAAGAAGAAAAGTGCTAATGTTACTCTCAACATTGCAAAATAACGTGTAACACAACTTAATCAGAAGTGCATCATGTTACACTCGAGTAAATATTCACGCAAACTTACATCCTGTTCTCTTTCAACACGGAGGAATACGCAGTGATGGATGCCAAAATATAAATGTGAGCAGGTGATTTAAAAAAAAAAAAAAATGTTATCTGACGGTCGCGCTGCACTGGAATCAGTCTGTACTTAACAGATCATGGTGAATGAAATGATCAGGAGAACTGAGCAGTGAGCTTGGATCAGCTCCTCTATGAAAAGCTTTGTATGTAAGATGCTCGTTGTCACAGCATGTTTGGTCTCACCTGTTCAATACAAGCAATACTGGCAATTTGGTAGCTAAATTCTTTTCAGGTTACCAGGCCAATTTGCTAAAAAAAAAAAAAAAAAGTCTGGACATGTAATCCAGGATAACACACAAAATGCATGTGCATAAGTATGTCCATAAAATAAAGATATTAAGATTTTCTTTTCAATTGCACAGACAAGAAGGAAAGCATACCTGCACCTTCAGATACTTCGGATACTACTAATGAATGCAGGACATACTAAGATGTTTAGTTTGAACATTAACAGACACAGGCATTGGGTTATCCATGAGATCCAGGCAACAAACTGTATAGAGTCAATTCATACTCTTATTTGACACTGAGGCACGACCTCGTTCTGGAGGTGAAGAGGTAATAGTTTTAAAGCACATTTTTAAAGAAAAGGCATATCAGGATGTGATGAAAAATGCACTCAAGGTAACACATGGGACTTGTAAAGT